GTGTTGAGAGTAAAATACCATAGCAAACTATAGATGGTGCATTGTTACGTACAAAAAGTGTGTTATGTTTACTAACTATTCTACAAAAATCTATTGAATTCGCTAAATTGCATTAGCGGTGGTTTTTTTTTGAAGACCGTTGCTAATTCAAAAAAAACCACCGCTAATGCAATTTAGCGACGGTCCAAAGACCGTTGCTAAAATGCCATTCGCTAAATTTTTGTGATGGTTTTTGGATCGTCGTCAATTTTGCGACGGACTAAACCGTCACTAAAATAAAAAAAACCATCGTAAAATATGGTAGTAAAACAAGAGAATATTTACGACGGTGCAAAAAACCCTCGCTAAGTCCGTTGGAATTTAGCGACGGACTTAGCAACGGTCTACGGATCGTCGCTAATTGTCCGATTTTAATTTTTTTCCACCTCCAATTTAAATATCTAAAATTAACCAATTGCTATTTAAAAAGTCTACTAAATATCCAAAACATAATATTTAAAAATTTCATAATTATTAATATAGATTGTATTAAAACGTAATAAATATTATTCAATTATTAAATTCTTGAAAACGATACATAATGTTTTTGTTACTACAAGAAAACATAATAGCTAAGAGAAATTGCTTGGATCGTCACTCAAAGGTTGGGTGGAATTGTCCGGAGGTTGGATGGAGTCGTCGTCGGTCTCGGACACGACGGATGAAGTACAATCTTGATGAAAATACTACTGAAACATCTGCTGCATTTGTGTCATCATTGTATGTTACTCGTCGACTATACTCTTTCAACTCATTTGTTGCAGCCAACAACGATGTGACGAGTACCTCGTAGGTCCTGGATCTATGTTGTATTTGCAGATGTTTGATCATGGACTTCCTTTCGTTATGCCTCATCAGCAACATAGAACCGTGAAGTTGTTGAGCTTGAGGCTGTACTCGACGAATTAACACAATAATTTACTTAATGAACAACTAAATAAACTTAATCACTAATTAATTTGTTAATTACTAATTCTAAATTCAACAAGTATTAAATTTTTAATTACTAATTATTTTTTTAATTACTAAAAATATGAAATATTTGTAATAACTTATTAATAATTTTCTAAAATAATTAACTTTCAAAAATACCAACAATTAAACTAACTAAATTAATAAATAAAATTTAACAATAAATTAACTAAATTAGCAATTATCAATTATACTAATAACAATAACAATTAAATTAACAACAAAAAATAATAACAATTTAATTTTCTTAACAATAAAATTAACAATTTAAACCCTCACAATTAACAACAATTAACAACAATTATATTTTCTAAACAATTTAACTAAGTAAATTAACAATTAACAATAAAATTAATTAAATCAACAATCAATAATTAACAATAATATTAATTAAATCAATAATTAACATTAACATTAACAACACATTTAATAATTAAAATAAAATTAACAATTAAACATTTAAACTACCACAATTAACAAAAATTAATACCAATTAAATTTTCTTAACAAATAAACTATCTAAATTAAAAAAGTACAATAATATTAATTAAATCATCAATTAACAATAACAATAACACATGCAATTAACAATAACAATTAATTAAATTAACAAACAATATTTAAATTATATTAACTAAATAATTGAAAAAATTAAAAAATAAAATGAGGGGTTAGATGGGGCGGGACCTTTCACCAACACAAGGAGGAGAGGGGGCTGCGCAGGTGGAAGGACTTCGTCGGAATTGTCGCGGGGAAAACGGCCGGTGGAGGAAGAGAAGAGAACGAAAGAAAAAAAGAAGAAAAGAGGGAAGAAAGGGGGAAAGATGGAGGGTAGAAAGGGAAGGAGGAGAGAAAGGAGAAGATTGGAAGGAAAATAAAGGAGAGGGGGAAGATTTAATGGCAATTTTGGGTAGATCGATGTCGTTGTCGGAGGAGAAGAAGAGAGTCTGGAGAGAGAAATTTTTTTCTAAAAATTTTCAAGAAGATGGGTTTGTTAAAGGTAAAGGTACGGACCATCGCTAAAATCGTTGCTAATTGTCGATTTTTTTAAAAAATTTAAAAAATTTTCCATTTCCCACCAATTGATTCATTTTAGCGACTACCGGACCGTCGCTAATTTGAAATTTTGCAACGGTTTTTTTTTAAAACCATTGCAAAAATTAGTTTTTAAATATTTTTTTTTTGAATTGCAATTTTAGCAATGGTTTAGACCGTCGCTAAATGTTGAAATTTTGCAACGGTTTTTTTGCAAAAAACCGTCGCAAATTTTGGTTTTTTTCAAATTGTAGTTTTAGCAACGGTTTGAAAGTTTGCAACATTTTTTTTTGCAAAAAACCGTCGCAAATTTTGGTTTTTAAATATTTTTTTTGAATTGTAATTTTAGCAACGATTTAGAGACGGTCTACGGACCATCGCTAATTATGAAATTTTGCAATGATTTTTTTGTAAAAAATCATCGCAATTTTTGGTTTTTGTTTAATATAAATATTTTGCAACGGAATTAGTGACGGTCTATAGACCATCGTTAATTTCAATATTTGTAATCGTTTTTTCAAAAAAATCATCATAGATACGATACATATCCAAAAAAAAATTAAAATCCAAATAATTAGCAACGGTTTGGTTAGACCGTCGCTAAAAGCGATCGTTTTGTGAAATTTTATCTACCGTTTTTTGGACATTTGCTAAAACAGACTAAAACCGTCGCAAATTTTGTAAATCGGCAACGGCTTTTTGACCGTCGCTAATTTTCTATCGTAAATTCATCTTTTTGTTGTAGTGCTATATGGTACTCAAGAGTAATTTATCATTTGCTTTTTTTGGCATAAATATGAAATTTCGTTTTACTTTTAAATTATTTTTTTTAAAAAATCCTAATTCAATTTTCCTATATATTAATATCATTTTAAAATACATGTGGCAACATCTAGTCAAGTTGATGGCATGATTAAACATAATTTGTAACGGTAATGGATGGAAGAACAAATTAATGACAAAATGAAACGTAAGAAGTTGATATTAATCTAAAAAGATTTGATTTAAATGGAATAAATTTTAATCGTTTAAACAAATAGTTTCGAGTTCGAGTTTTTATGTATGTAAAAAAATCCTTAAGTATCCGTGTTTGCCTTGTCTATCTAATTGAATAACGAGAAATTAGTTTGAATTTTCGATTCTAAAATACCTTAAAGATTAAAAAAAGGTTAATATTAAAAAAAAAAAAAAGAACATAAAGGGTCCAAACTAGTACAAAATGGAAGTACCAACACAAAATTTGAATATAATATAATAATAATTTTGAAGTTTATGTTTATTGTATTGAATAAAAAACTATAAATGTTTTTAATAATTACTAGATATTTATATTCTATCCGAAATTATAACCATCCAATCCCATTTGGATCCGTTCTGGTGTCGTCTCCGTCCAGCTGGGGCTGCTCCAATTTTTTTGTAAATTAATATTTTTTGACCTTATGAGATTGCATTCAGACTCTTTGTCATATAAATGCAAAATCGCTATATCTATTTCCATTTCTCGGTATGCAGAACAAAATTTTCTTTGGTCATTGCCTAACAGGTTGATTATCATCTTCCCTTCTAGGGATGACACAATTGATTCTCAATTTTCAGAGGAAGGCAACCATCTTGCTGGTCCAAGCACTGCAGACTTTCTGTCGAATAAGATTTCCAAAGCAAAAGGGGGAGCAAGGAAGAAAAAGGAAAAGGTGAATATTCTCTGTCGAATATTCTGACACCAAGACTTGGTTCTCGTAAGAGAAGTGGATCCTGCATGTTGGTGTCTCCATTCCTTTTTTTGTTTCTTAAAACTGGGAGCTCGGGGATGACTCCCATCCCGTTGCTAGTTTTCGTTGCTCTCTTTCATCCTTTGCTAGCCTTAAAGGATTGCCTAACTTTCAATTGTGGAAGTTTCGTACAGATCGGGTTCCCATTTACAAATAACATAATGCTTGAGATGTGCGGTCCCTCTGTGGTGGATGGTTGTGACGAAATATCTCAGAGGATCCAACTAGTGAGAGGTGGAAACTGGTTTGAACTTGAAAACATCTCTCAGGCTGATATCATTTCAATCCCCGATAAAGAGTTAGAGGGACATTTGAAGCACAATTCATGTGAATCCTTCAACAATATGAGTCTTCCACCCAGAAACCTATGCAGCCCTATTCGAATAATCTCCAACTTAACTTTATCCAAATGTGAACCCGGGGTCAATGTTTCTCACCATTTTGATTTTAATTAGACATTATGCAAGAACTTCAGCATCTATTATACTGACAGCACAAGTCTGCCTAGCCTTCCACCTCAATGTTCAAAACTTTTCATATCAATTGCGGCGATGACGATGGCAGCCATTATTGCAGCTTTTTACATCTTTTTTGTGGGATAGTCGCTCCATCTCACACTTGGTCTAAAAAGCTTACCCATAACAACAGACAGCATTTTAACCTAAAAATCTAGACTAAAGGATTATGAGTCCATTTTATATACAGATACTTTAAATTTCTCATTATTAACGTTGTAACATTCCTCACTGGCATGTGAAACTTCAATAGTTTTCAATCAGGAATTACTACCATATTCTATCCCCATTGCTGTCATTGCTTCTTTGCCTGTCATCTTCTTCATTTGTCAGCAATATCATAGTTTCCTCATTAGTTTGAATAACCTCGCCAAATTCCTTCCAAGCAACCTCAATATCAGCTCAGAGCCAATAAGACGAATTATTTCCTCTTCTATTTGAGCTAAAATGCTCTTATAAGGATTCTAATTTCCTCTTCTCGGCGAATAACCTATTCCTTCTTCCAAAAGTTAATCGACAGAGTCAGGTCTAGCTTGTCCATCAGCAAACTGGAAGAAAGAAATACTAATTATTATGAAAAATTCAGCGAACATCAACCAGGAATACTCATGATAATAGTAAAGAAAATGATCTATCAAATCAAAGTACTAAAACATGTTCGTACTAAAACATGCTGACACCCCTCATTGTTGGGATCTTTTTCGGTGTTGAAACCCTCTCTGGCGTCCTTGCTGGATCCCTTGTGTCTGGAGTCCAGGTAATGCAAAGGCTATTGGTTAACAGAAACTCCTTGGTCAACATAAATTTGAGATTATATTAGTGAATGTTATAGATGTCCTGATACATTTGTCCGATCATGTATTCTGTTGTGTCTGTGTTTCAGATTGCCATCTCTGCCTCCAACACTGGCGGTGCATGGGGTAATGCCAAGAAATTATATCGAGGTATACATCGAGTGAGCCTTATTGTAACTTTTTTATTAGCAATTTGGTGTGCTGAAATCATGGTTTTTTAATCCGAATATCCCGTGTTGTTTCAGAGCATGCAAGATCTCTTGGCCCTAAAGGATCAGATCCATACAAGGCAGCAGTTATTGGTGACACCATTGGGGACCCATTGAAGGATACATCCAGATCATCACTCAACATCCTCATCAAACTGATGGCCGTTGGATCACTCGTCTTTGCTTCATTCTTTGCCACACACGGAGGCCTGCTCTTCAAGATATTCTGAGAATGAGAGACATGCTAAGCAGTAAAAATGGTCCAGCCGTCCCATCTCTATTGTTTTGCCTTGCTATTCTTCCTTCCCTCAAAAGTATATGTAGTTAGTAGTCCATGATGACTTTAAATTTCTCTCCTAATTTTGAGTGGTGGAGAAAATTTCCCCCGTCAGGGGGTTGATGACGACAACGAAGACGATGATGATAATCAATGTAGTGAAGAGAGCTGAACCAAAGTTGTCATTTTATCTTCTAGTAAGAATAGTTAATTTTGCAAATTTCATCGCAATTTTGATTGTATGCTTTCTTCCTTTGCGTTGTCCTTTTTTTAATTAATGTTTTGAGATGCAAGTTCAAAGATTCTGGGATTCTTCTGCTCCTCGCTAAATATTTAATCAGCTGTTGTCTAAAATGCACAAAACATTACCAGCTATTTAATTGGAATTTGGAAATAAAAAGAAACACATGCCATCTCATCCCAGGGTTTGGGAAGGCACCAAATGAATGGGACAATGCCAATTGGAGATTGTAAAAATGCAATGAAGAGAAAGCGGGATTATTAATCCAACAATATACAGACAGTGGGAATAGAAGAAGATTATACAAATATTAGTATCAATTAATAATTTTATTCATAAAATGAGGGATTTTATCTATAATCCTTGACTGCTCTACTAGTCATTGCTCCTGTGAGGTTCGTCTCTCTCCTAGCAGGGATAAGATTAAGGGATTTAAAAACTTTCGGAATCTTACCTGTCGGGCCTTGTAGCTTTCTTGCCTCTTCAGCTTCTAGAGCCAACATTTGAAGGTTTCTAATTTCCTTGACTTCTTTAGCCAACATGCTGTGAAGGTTTCTAATTTCCTTGACTTCTTGAGCCAACAAGCTTTGAAGGTTTCTGTTTTCCTTGACTTCTTGAGCCAACCTGCTTTGAAGCTTTCTATTTTCCTCGACTTCTTGAGCCAACATGTTTCTAAGGTTTCTCATTTCCTCTTCTTGGAGAAGTACCTGATTATTAAGGGAGTTTCTTTCTTTCAAAAGTCGATCCACATCATCAGACGTACCATGTCCATCACCAAACTGGAAGGAGGATAGACTATAGAGTTATAATACAAAAAATAAGAATATATAGCAAAGGAAGAAATACATGTCTGTCTTCACAGTTCTTTGATTCGTTATACGATTAGGAAACATCTAAACATAGAAAAATTAATTAGTGTATTAGATAGCCGAGTTGAAATTAATGATCAGGAAAAAAAAAAACATATTTTTGTTTTATGGTACCAATATCTCAAATTAGATTTCTGAAGCTATAACAACAACAACAACAACAACAATAATAAAAAGTGATGGAGAATTCATTTGTAGAGACTAAAGAGATTCATATACTGACAGAAAGAATATGTAGCCTAAACATGACATAAAATTCAAGGATGGTCTAACTGCTAGTAAATGGAGCTGGGAGGATTACCTTCATTTTGTAAAGCTTTTCGAGGAGGCCTTTTATTGCAGTCAGCATTTTGTTAAATGAATGCTAGCTGGAAAATTTGAATGACCTAACCCCGGCTTGGATATCTAAATTACTTTACTTGATAATTTTCAGTTACTTGAACTTGGTGGCTTCTAACATGCCTTGCCCAACAAAGAAAGGTATTGCCTTTTTCCTTTGTTTATTTATTTATTTATCCAGTTGCCTTTATCCCATCGAGTGCCAGAACCACGCTTTGCTTCTGGGGCCATGGCAACCCAAAAGTTTTCGCAGCAGGTTTTACCTTACCGGGTGGTAACATACAAGATGCCGGGGTACCGGTTTACCTTCGGAAGATTGCATTCAAACTCTTTGCAATGTCGGATGCAATATCGTTGATCACCTCTGCCTCATCTGTGTTAACCTTCTTGTGTATTGGCACCTCTGGGTATGCAGAACAAGATTTTCTTTGGTCATTGCCTAACAGGTTGATTATTGGACTCACAACGCTTTTCATCTCAATTGGGGCAATGATGGTAGCCTTTATTGCAGCCGTTTTCCTTGTTTTCATCCAAGAATTACTACCATATTCTATCCCCATTGCTGTCATTGGTGCTTTGCCAGTCATTTTCTTCTTTTGGCAGCATCACCGGTTATTCGTCGACGTGATTCATTCAACCTATATTTCTTGATCACTTTTCAAGCCAAATAAATCTCCTCTCTTTTCAAAGAGTGTCAAGGCAAAGGTCGCTTAACATCCATTCATTACTTTAAAAAGAATACGTGCATTTGTATGAAAATTCTGGCATTCATGTTATAAAAAGAGATTCTGTTTTTCCATGAATAGTTTTAAATAAAAACCTATAAATATTGTCAATTACTAAAAAAGTTCTTTAGCATATGAATATTGTCAATTAAGGTACTTTTTAAAATTTTTTTGCTTTTATTTATTTAATTTTGATAAATTTTCTTTTAATTTGTATATTGTAGATTCTTAATGTTAAGGTTTATCCTATAAAAAGAATTTCATAACTTGTGATGTTAAATTTACCAAACGTTAACCATGTGAATTGACCCTGAGAAGACAAAAGCAAAATCAAATATCAAAGCTTTTGAAGGTTGGCTATTTCTATTTGTTTTGCTTTATGTGAACGTTAGCTATTTCTATTCCATAACTCCGATTCCAGAAAGTAAAGAGCCGACAGACCAATGGCTTTTGCAAGTTTTGTCTATAAAACCCTCTCCTGATAAATCCTGCTCAACGCTAGGATGCAAATCTAGATTGGATCAAAGGGTGCAGGATAAAGCGTTGGTGGTTTCTATGGCGAACTGGCGGGCATGCCTATAATGTTGGGCAATCTATGTTGGTGCAAGAGTTCAGTGATTGATCCTGAAATTTTCAGGGGAGAAAAAAAAATTGATTAACAATTTGTTTCCATTTCTCGGTATGCAGAGCAAAATTTTCTTTGGTCATTGCCTGACAGGTTGATGATCAGACTCCCAGTACTTTTCATACCAATTGAGGCAATGACGATGGTAGCCATTATTACAGCTTTTTACCTCGATTTTGTAAAAGAGTCACTGGAGCCCTCATCTGGAGTCTGTACATAAAAAAACTTATACAAAAAAATGGACACTATTTTAATCCAAAAACCTAGACTAAAAGGTTAGAAGTTCATTTTATATATAAACACTTCAAACGTCTCATTACTAATCTATGTGAGATTCCTCGCTGGTATGTGAAACTTCTAACAGTTTTTCAATCAGGAATTACTACCATATTCTATCCCCATTGCTGTCATTGCTTCTTTGCCAGTCGTCTTCTTCATTTGGCAGCAATATCGTAGTTTCCTCATTAGTTTGAATAACTTTGCCAAATTCCTTCCAAGTAAACTCAGCATCAGCTCAGAGCCAATAAGACGAACTATTTCCTCTTCTCGGCGAAGAACCTATCCCTTCTTCCAAAAGTTTATGGACATAGTCCGGCCTAGCTTGTCCATCAGCAAACTTGAAGAAAGAAATGCTAATTATTATGAAAAATTCAGCGAACATGCATCAACCAGCTGGAATAATCATAATAATAGTAAGGAAAATGATCTATCAAATCAAAGTAATGAAACATGTTCGTACTGATCTTTTTTTTATTAGTAATTAACAAAACATAAAAAAAAATTAATATAAACTCTTTAATTAGCTGAGTGGAAAGAACATCACAAGTCACAACAAAACCACAGATTTATTTTGGACCAGCACCTCAATAAAAAGAAACCTAGGAATTAGGCTTATTAGGATGCGTTTTTAATATCGTCTTGTGTTGATATAAAACAAAAACATAAAAATTAATCATTTTTATGGAATATTAAAAAAAAAAATTGAAGGAGTATGGACCCTAATAAATTGCATTGAAAATTTTTAAATGACTTGATTTCAACATCACCAAAAGATGTGGTCTAGGGTTAAATAAATTGTCTTGATTTGATCAAATCAAGATTAACTAATGAAGTGATGAATTTAGTATTGGTTGATACAAAATCTAACTTGAAAATACCTCATTATATATATATATATCTCTATACTTGATTTCAAATTACTTGTTTGTGTAGACATGATTAGTTTATTGCCAAAAATGCAAGTTGCTTAGGAAAGTTAAATAAGTTGGCAAAAACTTATAGAATCTAAGTCCAATATATTTTTTTTCCTTCGAAGGGCACTTTTTCCCCCGTGAATGGATATTTAACCTAATCTAGAATAGAAATAACATACTAATCAAATGCAGGAGAATGGTAGCATGGGAAAGTAGGTATATTTTACGCCTATCGTATTTGACTGGTTTTAAATTATTGTAGGAAACTAAAATCGGGGGATCTTCATATTATTATTATTATTATTTAAATTCAAGTCCAACAAACGGAGAATGTGTTATATTTCAATGGTTCCAAATTAAAAAAAAAAAAAACGTCTGATATGATATATGATTGGACAATATTTCTCCACATCAAATAATTAACAACCATGTCTAAATTTAATAAATATTAAAATAATTTTTTTGGATTTTTTAACGATATATTTATAAAAAAAAATATTGAAATATAATTTTTAAATAAAATATTTGTGAAGTATATATACACTACAAAAAAACAGTCAAATTGCGACTGGTAAACTTCGTCGTTAAATAACAAGTAAATAGCGATTGAATATCGTCCGTTTAAATCAAGCAACGGAATATAGATGGATTAGTAATGATTTATTAGCAAAGGACATCAATTCGTTGCTAAATTTGAAGGCAAAATGTTTTTGAGAGTTTTAGAGACGATTTAACAACGGAATATCCATTATTAAAATAAATATCCCTTGCAAATTAGCGATGGAAAAATCCATCAATGAGGGTAAAAAATTAGAAGGATTTTTTGAAAGTCAAAACTATCAAATTAGTGATGGACATTTGTGTAAAAAATGGACGATAACATTAATAAGTTAGTCGCTCATTTTTTGATAGATTAGCGACGGACGTATCCGTTCGTTATTAATTAACGAAGAGATCGTGTCTCGTTGCTATTTTTTAATCCCTAATTAAACCACTTTCTTTTTCCTCCCTACATTTTTTTTTCTCAACCAAGTCTTTCAAAAATTGATGTATAAATAAATCTATCGTACTTGTATTCTTATTTTTGTGAATGATATGTCTATAATCTAACTAAATGTAACAGTGGCCTTTTACATATTCTGAAAAACTCTTCGAGCACATTGCTTAAGGGCAAACATATTTAATTATTCAATCTCACATAATTCGAGCAATAAGTCACTGAAATTTATGTTACGAGAATATGTTTTATTAAGAATTTTTTTAACATGATTCATAAAACGTTTCAAATCATATGATTTTTGAGTTAGCAAATTAATCTGGATATATAGATGAATAATTACTTGAGTATCTATAGATTTCTAGTCTAATAATAATGAGTTTCTTGCACTTATAAAAAGTCACGAGTTCAAATTCCTTTTGTAAAATATTTGAATCTAAAAGAAAACTTTATTACAAGAAGAGGTCAGAATACTCGTAACGAAATAATGCAAGCATAAACACACTAACAAACCACAAATGAGTCTAAAATGCTGCAAATATCTACTTTATGAGATATATAATTCATGCATGTAAATATTAATTTATTGTTGTGTGAGGTTTTTTTAGAATAAATCAAGTAGTTGATAGTCATATTAATCAAAATATAAAAAAATTAGTTTTATAATTTGTAAAAATAATAATCCATTAATAAAAACAATGATACGAGTAGCGAATGGGAAGGGAACTAAATCAAGTCGGGCCGAGTGTGGATGTTGCTGCACCTGCACCCGATCCGAAATGTACCCATCCATCACTCACCCCTGCACCTGATCCTACCCAAAGGTAGTTCAAACTAACATAAAAAGGGCTCGTTATGAAGTTCAAATGAATATCATCAAGTTGAGATAAATTCCACCACGTAAAAATAAAGTCTTGATCAAAATGAATTCATGCAGTGCTTATCTTATCCAAAAATTGTAATGGCCATAAAGACAAAAGTTGTTTTATCCATTTTTTTTTCTTTAAACAACATAGAAAAAGAAAAAAGAAACGGTTCTTTATTTATTTTTTTTTATAATGCAGTAAATATTTTATTTATTATCATATCCTAAAATGAGTTTATTATTTATCTTTGTATTAAATGAGTTGTTAATATATTTCTATACATATATCAGTAAATTTTTAGGTGCTATTTAGTTACCATGAATAGAGTGACATAAATAAAAATGAAAGTTTTATTCCCACTTTATAATTGTTTAATCGAAAAAAATGAAGTGAAAATAAGAATGAAGAGTGAAAATAACTTCATTAATGTATAGAAGGTGAGAATAAAAATAAGAAATAAAAATATTTTTTTCTTTACAATAATAATATATTATTTTTATTTATTGTGTATTAATAATCACTACCACCACCACACCAATTCCATTGGAGGTGGTGATAAAAGAAATTAATTATTATTATTAATATTCTATCACCGTTTTTCTTCTACCACCATTACTATATCATATTTATTATACCACCACTATCATCATTCTTTTTCTAGTGACTATATTGTTATTACTATCGATTTATCTTCATCCTCCTCCTACTCCGTTACCTCCGTTGTCATCCTTATCATAATCACCTTTGTAATTTTACTATCATCATAATTAATAAAATTATTTTTTTAATCATTATTTTTATTTATATTAAAATTTTGATATTAAAAAATTTAAATTTCATTTAAATTTTATATTAATATTTTAAATACAGTATGAAAATTTCGATTATCTAATTTTCATTTCTAATAACCAAACACCTTAAACAACTCTTTAGTTTAATGGTAGCGTGTTTCTTACGATTGCTAAAGATTAAGAGTTCATTTTTTTCTTTAAAAAAAAAAAACTCAATTACAAAACAAGGCCAGAATAGGCCATCACTTTTTCAGTGATGTCCAACTCAATCCGTCATGATAATACGATCTATTTCTTCTTCTCGGCTAATTCAATCCATCTTATTAATTGATCTTCTTTTCTCTCATATCTTGCTAGTTATTAACGTCAACTCTCTATTTTTTGCTGCAAGATTATATTTACGCGCGCGCGCGCGCGCGCGCGCGCGGGGGGGGGGGGTGGGGGGGCCTCAACTCTATTATTAAATGAGTTTTTAATTTATGATTCAGCTGATATATAATGGGTTTTTAATTTATTATGATTATATTTTTTTTAAACACACACTACAGTCAATCCACCAATATCCGCCACCATCAAAGCCACAATTGGCACTACTCACCATCGTTAAACGCACCACCTTCAGCACCATCAAAGCCACTACTGTCAAACATACCAACCCGACCACCACCAAATCCACCACCTCCCACTAACATCAAGACCATCATCAAATCCGCCACTGTCAGACCTTCTGATCTTAACTTCAGCAACCAAACTCATCACTCACATGCACCACTAGATTGTTATTTAAAGTAGGTTTATGTTTGATTGAGAGAGAGAATTTAGGAATCTTCGGAAATCACCTTGGTCAAGTTATGGCAAGTAGTTTTTTAGTACCTAAAATCTCAATTCTCTTTTGCGGTTAAATAGCTTTTTTTTTTTTTTTTTTTTAAGAACGAAGAGACGAGAGATCCAGAGACGTTACTGATTAACAGAAAGTACATACATGATTATTATCAACACGCTTCTGTTTTTTTTTTTCTAAAAATTAAAAAATAATAATTTGTACATCCTTATTTATCAGGAATAACTATTTTCGATATAAAATTAGTTAAGGGTAAATCATGATATTTTCAGGCTTTTTGTTTTTTTTTTAAATATATAAAAACATCACATGTAATCGATTTATTTTAAAATATAAATACTGATGTCAAATACATATTTAATTAAAAAAATTTCATAACACTCAAAAAATAACTAGTGATATGTAGAAGTACTTATTCTTTGGATTTACTTATAGGATAACGAATATATAAATTTTTTTTATAGCTTTTGGTGGATTCAGATATAATTTTATGTGTTTATTTCTCTTTTAAATGGATCCAAGAAATAATTACTGTACATACTAATTACTCTTTGAATATTATAAAATTTCTCATTAATTTATATATATACGTATAGATTACGTATACTTAAATTTGTCTTATCTCATCTCAACGGTATATCTGCATCTAATTTTAATCCAACGACCAAAAGTTAACGTGACTGTATAATTACAGAAACGCCATCAACAACAGCAGTGGCGCAGCCTTTGATTCTGAGGGCACTTTGTTAAATGCCCAGGTCAGCTAATGATGTCGTCAAGTCGAACCTGTCCAGCTGAAACCTTAAACAGACAAAGGGACCCACAAACTTGGTGAAATGTCCAAAAATTCCCAAATCACACGAGATAGTTGATTTATCAGGGTTAGTTTCGTACTTTGGAAAACAATAAACTAACGCAAGCTTAGGTTTCGGGGAAAACCTAAATTAGTCCCTAACATATTATCAAATTCCAAATTCAGTCCCAAAACAAAATATGTTATCAATTAATATCCCTAAGGCATAAGAAGTTTCTCAACCAGGTGCTTTTGTCCAGGTCTGTTGATTCATTGGTCAAATTTTCTTCAAACACACATCATTTTATTGTGTATATTTTGCATATAAAATGGGAAATATTAAGATTACATTTCACACGAGGGTAGAAAATTTGAAAAGATTGTAAAAATTAAGAGTGAAGGGTTGAATTCATAAAAAAGGTTAAAAAAATAAATGTTAATGATTTGAGGCAGGATTGTAAAAAACCATAGGTAATTATGGTTCTTAAAAAATAAAATTCAAGTTAAATCTAATAACCAAAAGATAATTAACATATATTTATGGTTAGATGAAAGAAAAAAATTAGTAATTAAAATTAAAAAATAATAATCAAAGAGCTTATAGTATAAAGATAATGATCTCTTATAATAAAAATTTATGAATTCAAATCCTAACAAATAAAAGAAAATTGCTATTAAAATTCAATTTCTAAAAACAAAACCTCCTTGATATTTTCCTTCCAAAATTATATTAATCATAAAAATGAAAAATTACCCTCGTAAGTTTCATCTACTTTCTACTCACGAGCCGTGACAAAAACATTCGAACTAATATCAACGGAATGGATCAATTGAGAAACGTGTCTACAATTAGGGATCCTACTGACAAATTGTTTTGTTTCAGGACTTAATTGAAATAGGTATTTGAATATTAGGGACTAAATCGAGGTTTCCCTAGATTTTATCGTCATACCTTAATTATTTTTTATGACTATTCCATCTCCTCTCTCCTACCCTACTCTACTCTCTCTCTCGACGATTATTACTGACCTTAATTGGAAAGATTCCTAATATTGATAAAAAGATCTGATCTGTCAAAAAAAGAAGCAAAAATTTTCTTCCCTATTTCAGTTTCAATCTTTCTCGATTAATTTTATTTCCAAAATCGTTTTCGAGATTCTGATGGCATGAAAAATCTCTTCTACATGTGAAAAGAAAAAACAAATATCATTGTTTTCTCCGTCCATTTATCTGACTTCATGGGGTTGATGTCTGATCCAACCGTCAATATTTATTTCTTTCCTTTCTGTCACTCGATTTTTTCTTTTTCAATCCCATCATAAAGTGTTTCTGTATTTATATCTTTTTCCTTTTTTAGTTTTCTAAAAAGTGTAAAAAAAAAGAAGAAAAGATGAGGGTAGCCAAGTCTCAGGTATGGCAGCCATGCAAGAAGAAGAGATCTTGATCTGTAACCAACAAAGACAAGAATTTCAGTTTTAGAGAGAGAAACAGAAGGAAAGAAAATCTTATTGATTGTAGAGAGAGAATGTCGACTTCTAGAAGCGGCGGCGGCGGCGGCGGTGGTGGAAGCGGAAGCAGGACACGAGTCGGGAGATACGAGCTCGGAAGGACTCTCGGAGAAGGAACTTTTGCCAAGGTGAAATTCGCTAGGAACATTGAGACGAAAGAGAATGTTGCTATTAAAATTCTTGATAAAGAGAAAGTTCTTAAACACAAGATGATCGGTCAGGTAGTTTTTTGATTTGTTTTTTAATTTTTAATTTCATCAAATTCTCTGAATTTTGTAGTTTTTTCGGATTGAATTGAAGTTATTTTCGTGTTAATTTTAGTTCATGATTTCTGTTGTTCTTGTTGTTGTATTTGGTTAATTTGAAAATTATAGAACATGAATTTTTTAGTTTTGAAATGGAAAAGTCAACTGGACTAAGAGATAATTTATTTAATATTTTTTTTGTTGTTTTTTTTTTTTTTTTTTGGCAGATTAAACGTGAAATTTCAACAATGAAATTAATTAGACATCCGAATGTCGTCCGCATGTATGAGGTTGGAAGGATTTCTTTTTGTTTCTTTGTTGGAATTTTAATGATCAAGTGCTTATTTTTCCTTTTCTGTATTTTTTTTTTGGTGATGTTTTAATAATTCGCAGTAGTATTGCTGTTGTAGGTGATGGCGAGCAAGACGAAAATATACATCGTTTTAGAATTTGTGACGGGTGGTGAACTTTTCGACAAAATTGTAAGATGAATATGTTTGGAATGAGCATGTCGGAATTATCATGCTTGTTTGTAAGGAAGTCTAAAGTTTTCTCTGGTTTTTGTGCTATTTTTCTTGAGTTAGGCAAGTAAAGGGAGGTTGAAAGAGGATGAAGCGAGAAAGTATTTTCAGCAACTTATAAACGCTGTCGATTACTGCCATAGCAGAGGTGTATGCCATAGAGATCTAAAGGTGTGACTTTGTTGCTTTTATTCTTATTTTAATGTTAAAATAACAATGACCCTCTCAAATTTGTTCAGTTGAGCTGATGGATTAATCTCTTATTAGTATTGGCGATAAACTAAGTTTGTTACATGTGGTTCTAAATCACAGCCTGAGAATCTGCTACTGGATGCTAATGGGGTTCTTAAAGTTTCGGATTTTGGATTGAGTGCACTACCTCAGCAAGTTAGAGTATGTTAACTTCTGATCTGACAACTCTGCGCGAGCATAAATTATTTTCCCTTCATTTCAGAAGAGTTCCTAATTGTGTATCTTTTATTTCTCCTTTAGGAAGATGGGCTACTTCACACAACGTGTGGAACACCGAATTATGTTGCTCCAGAGGTGTGGTAGCCTTTTGCGACACTAATATTTTTTAATGCTTAAACCATTTGTGCTTTTTTTTTTTTTTTTTAATTCATTGCTTGGCGTTTCTCTTTTCTAGGTGATCAACAATAAAGGCTATGATGGCGCCAAGGCAGATTTGTGGTCATGTGGTGTGATTCTTTTCGTCTTGATGGCTGGGTACTTGCCTTTTGAAGAAGCCAACCTTATGGCACTATACAAAAAGGTGATTGTTTCTGTTCTTTCTCATTGCATTGTATGTATACATCCATCTTCATGTTTGTTGGTTGTGCTTGTATAAAATGCTAGAGTTGGTGAAACCAAGCTCCATCTATAGAAAAAGACTGTATCAAGTTTCAATACATTTACCTATTAGTTTTATCATGTTGACCTAAAAACGGTTATGTAGAAAAGATCTTCAACATCTCTAAAACCTCCAGAACCTAATCTATGAAAATGTTTAACAATTATCAACTATTATGATTGGAAAGTTAAAACATTATTTCAGAAGTTCACTATTCAATTATGTCCCGGGTGGAGCTATGCTATGCCAAGTATGACTTGGATAATGATTAATGAAGACCTTAAATTCTACTCGAGTTTGGCTCGTTCAATGTACAAATGGGCTTGAAAGAGCTTTGAGGCAAGCCAATCATGAGCAGGCTCTGATTGTTCTGCAAAATGTCATGACCAATAGTGCAGTTTATGTCATTGACATATCTTACAAGCTATCCACTACATCTGAGAGCATGTGCAAAAAACTCAATTGGCAGGTCAATATCTGATTCTGGTTTGTAAAATATAACTTTACTGATGGTTTGGAATCAGAGCCTTTGTGCATGTCTGCTTTTGTAAACGTCTGCTGTTGCTGTGTAAAATAAGCTAAATTTGGTATTATTGTATTCAACATTGCCTAAATGGAAGGCGCTTTATTGTATTTTGCATTGGCTAATGTGGTTTATGTGTGAATGCAGATATTCAAGGCTGACTTTGCATGTCCTCCATGGTTCTCCTCAAGTGCTAAGAAACTAATCAAAAGAATTCTGGACCCTAATCCCTCGACAGTTTGTCCCCACTCTTCTCTTCATATAAATTTACTGTACATCTTTCCTTCTCTAGAAAGGATGCATTACAATATTAGGTACTTGTCAACTTACTGTACATGCTAATGGTATGAAACAGCGTATTACCATTGCCGAGCTTATTGAAAATGAATGGTTTAAGAAAGGATACAAGCCACCTACTTTTGAACAAGCTAATGTTAGTCTCGATGACGTGGACTCTATCTTCAATGAATCAGTGGTAATTCTTGCGTTTCACTTGTGAATCATGCTTTCAATCTTATTGTACCACCAGTGGGTTTGTACTTGATGTTCCTCTTGGTTAACAGGATTCTCGGAACCTTGTTGTGGAGAGGCGAGAAGATGGGTTTATAGGGCCTATGGCTCCTGTGACCATGAATGCATTTGAACTAATCTCTACCTCTCAGGGTCTTAACCTTAGTAGTCTCTTTGAGAAACAAATGGTATGTTTTAAGCTCATTGCTGTTCTCTGTAAAGTAAACCAAAATCTGGAAAATGTTAGAACTTGACAGCCTGACAGGTTGGTACATTTGTTTGTGTTGAAATCTCCTCACTGTATAATTATATCAAGGATTTGTGGTTGAATGCTCCTACAGTAGCATTATACAGTTTGTTTTTTTTTATCATTTAAAAGCAGGTCTTATATGATATTCCCTCTTTGTTCTGATATTTAGCCTGCTCAATTGCCAAGTAGAAGTCAGAAATAACTGTTATGTCTCCCAGTTTATGTTTTTCGAAATGTCAGAGTTTAATCAGCCGTGACAACCTCCTTGGATATGTAGTTATCTTTGAGTTTCACAACCGGAACTGAAGAGACTTTCTTTTCCTTTGGCAACTAGGGGCTTGTTAAACGGGAATCGAGATTCACATCCAAACATTCTGCTAATGAGATAATCTCAAAAATTGAAGCAGCAGCAGCGCCTTTGGGTTTTGATGTAAAAAAAATAACTTTAAGGTTTGATTACATTCTCCCTTTTATAAATGAGAATTTTTGGTTTAATGTTAGTTCATGTTTAGCAAGATTCCTGTGGTCTCTCATGCATCCAACTTCTTGTGATGTCTGTCTGGCTTTCACCAAGCTACATCCAAGTTGGAGTCCTGAACAATTATGCCTGTATGAAATCTGCCTTTTCTTTTCTGGTCCTTTCTCCTTCATAAGGGAATTGGATTGATCATAGTTGAACTTTCTTCTATGTGGTTCAGTGGACTACTGATTTTTATGTTCTTGAGGAAACAGGATGTCTTCAGAAATTTGATTCTGTTACAAGTCAACTGTTAAATTATTGTTTCTGCTGGAACAACTCTTTGTGTTTCAAATTGCAGATGAAGCTTCAAGGGGATAAGGATGGACGGAAGGGTCGTTTATCCGTTGCAACAGAGGTATGTCTTTAGGAATCTATACTGATTAATGATTCATGCTATAGACTTCTTTGGCAGTTTGAGCTGGGTGTTAAGATAATTCTCTTTCTTTCAGATCTTTGAAGTGGCCCCTTCTCTTTATATGGTTGAGGTTCGCAAGTCTGGTGGAGATACCCTGGAATTTCACAAGGTATGGCACTTAAATATTGTTGCTCTTTTGGCAATTAAAACAGCAATGAAAAATTTCTCCTCCTTTGAAAGAATGCTTGTTTAGTTAGGTCAGGTGTGCAACCCTTTGTTTGCTTGCAAACTGAATGGGGCTGTTCTTGAAAAAGTACATATTCAGCTGGTTTGCTTATTTCATTTTTCATGCAAAACAATTATGACAAGGTGAAGCTTTTGGTGAAAAAGGAGGGTGGAGTGTGAGGGGTATGTGAGATACCCAACCATGGTTGATGGCATGTATATTGATGCCAGAATTATCCAATAACTACATCATGTGCGATTCAGCTTTTCCCATTCATGTTCCAATTGTTATTATTAATATTACCGAAACAAAACACATGCTTACTCTATTAAACATTAGTGGCCAAGTTGAGGTAAAAATAATTTCCAGGTTTAACGCAAAGTTAAAAAAGTATAGCATTGTATCTCAAGAATAAGGCCAAGCTAAACTGGTTTGCTTGCTTTCTTTAACTTACACTCTCATGGAATCAGCTGAAGACTAGATTTTTTTGCAGTCTTGTTGGGTGGACCTAACAGGCCATAAAAATTATAGCTGCCACAACTGGCATTGTTACCCATCAACTATGTTATTAGCTAATTCTTTCTTTTATCTTTAATTGTTGAAATGTCTAATTTTGAAATCAATTGGTTTAAATGACAGTTTTATCAGCACCTCTCAACTGGACTAAAAGACATCGTATGGAAAACAATTGATGAAGAAAAGGAAGAAGAAGAGGCAGCGACAAATGGTTAGTATCTATTACCTATAGGTTAAGTGCAGCCTTTTCCAGGCATGCATTATTGAGCCCTCTGAAATTTTTGATTCCCTGGAGATTACATCAAAGGAACAAATTTATCATGGCAAAAAATTGGGGTCCTCTGCATGGTATCCTGTAAAATGATGGACTATTATTTTCTTTTGTGATATTTTAGCATCGGACCTGTTAAATTATATTCTTGCGTCTGAATATGCTAGCAGTTATGTAACTTCAAATACATGGACCCTCAATACAACACACACACACATACACACATATGTACATATGTATGCAAGGAAAAATATTTTAGGAAGAGCAATAATTTCCTACTATTGAGAAGTAGGAAGTTACCTACTTCCTTTGGGTGGTACCCTTTCTTTTAATTCTTTTTACAGTTACTTTCACGTACTACATACATATATAAAACGGTCTGTAGCCTATCAAGACTAGCCATTTCTCTGTTGCAGAAATTATTATCCATTTTTCTTTTTCATCTTTGCAAAAATAAAATAAAAAACAGTTTTAACATCTTTAGGTTAGCCAAGATTTAGTATGCATTTGCTTTTTGCTCCTCTTACTTAATGTGCATATGGGCGTTAGACTTATTTTATTTTGAATATCTTTTCTCTGCAGGTGTTGCTCAGGTTACTGCGCAATAATTGGCTTCCTTGAAATAAAGAATATTGTCAAGTGGGTTCTTTTTTTTTCCCTTGTAAAATCCAAATGTTGATTATTCAAACGAATGTGGTGTGGATTGTAGTTTTTTTTTTTTATCCCCAGCCTCAATGTTATGAAGGTTAATGGGGGGGACATAATGTAGCTTTTAGTGATCTGTTCTTTGAGCCCAGAACGAACTCGTATACCTTGGCTTGGTTTTGGCCAAATTAAACTGTTATATATATATACCCTGGCTTGGTTATTGTCCAAACTGTGAATATATCACAAACCCCTCAATGGGGTTTTCTAATATGTTTATTCTCTCCTTTGTCTGATTAAATGCTCCCAAATTCTCTGCTTCATTGAAATGCTCTTTGTTTATTCGATGCAGCAAAGGACTGTCACTTCAAATCGATAACTGTGTTGACATAAGCCATACAATAGACTTGAGCATTCACTTATTAAATAAACAAGAAAAATTAAAAAAGGATAGTGTTTTGTTGTAGATTTACTGCACTATACTGCACTAGGTTGTTCATTTTTCAGTTGTTTTGGCGTAAAAGGATATTGTTTTCTCAAAATAATTTAATCGATTTCTTGAAAAAATATATTCGCTTTGGTTTTTTGATTTTGGGGTGTTTCTTGAATGGTCTCTGAACTTCATATGTAATCATACATTTCAGTCCATGGATGTAGAGAGAGAACCGAAAAGAGAGAAGGCAGGAGAGAAAATCCAAATGACCATCCATTCCAGCCATGTGATATGAAAGTTTTGGTGTCCAAGTGTTCGTATTTATGACGAGAGTTTGTCGGTGGTTTAATGATAAATTTTTGCTTTATTTTATTGCCATTTAGTAATTTTAAGTTTTTAGTATCAAATTGCATAATTTGAATTATAAATCATTTATTTTCAAGTAAAATTAATCAAATTTCTCTAATTGTCATTATATGTAATGGTCAACTGGATTAATCATTACTTTAAATGTCAAAACGACATTATTTTGGTATTCTGTTGTTAATTATGTTTTTTTAAAACATTTTAAAAATATTTGTAACCCCCAAATCTTGAACTTTTTCAAAACTTTTTATTCTTATAAAATATATTATAAACCTTTTGTAAATTATATAAAAAATATTTTACAAAAATTGTTAACCCCTTAATTTTGAACTTTTTTTAAATTTTTTTATAAAATATTATAAATATTTTTATAAAATATAAATATTTTTATAAAATATAAATATTTTTATAATTTATAATTTATAAAATTAGGGGGTCAACCCTTAATTTTGCTTATTTTAATTTATAAAATATTTTTTTAAAGGCCTAAAATTGTGTATTGTTAATTATGGTTTTTACAATAATTTTTTCTTATAAAATGTTTATAATATCCAATGAGTATTAAAATATTTATAATATAAATTATAATATTTTATAAATTAAAATGATAAATTATAAATTTTTTTTTATAAAATGTTCATAATATTTTATTAAAAAAGCTTTTAAAAAAGTCCAAAATCGGGAGGGTTAAAAATATTTATAAAATTTTTTTATATATAATTTATTAGAGAAAAAAGTTTTTTTTTTTTTTTTAAGTTCAAGATTAGGAGGATTAAAAATATTTTTTTTACAAATATATATTTAAAAATATAATTAATAGTAGAATGTTAAAACGATATTATTTTGATATTTTAAGTAAAAGTCAACTAATTTGACTGTTTCATATAATGAAAATTAGAGACATTATATCAATTTTATCTAAAATCAATAGTTTGGAGTTCAACTAATGTAATTTGATATTAAGAGTATAAATTATCAAATTATAATAGAATAGGAGTAAATTTGCCCTCAAACCGTTTGTTGATGGTGGTTTTAACACTCAAAATAACAGGAAAAAAAAAAAAAAAGAGAGAGAGAGAGATGGGTACCCAAAAAGTTACTGGGTTTTGGAATTGATCTGTTTTTGGGAGTTCCTGGTGTTAATTGAGATGTATTTTGAGGCTATAAAATGATTTTTACATGTTGTGAGAATGATTTTGTGGTATTTGGAGGTCAAAAAAAGGCGGAGAATTGAGTTTGGGAGACCAAAGGTGAGCAACCATCAAACTATTTTTTATCTTTTTTATTTCTAGTTTGGACTGTGTGTGTCTGGTCTTAGCGCCCGGGCTTGGTTGCCTCCACGCCCAGGTGCGTGGACTGTCTCCCATCTGGACCCACCTTTTTTTGTTTTATTTTTATTTTCTACTTTTCGCTATTTGCTCAAAATCAAATTCCCTGTAATAATTAATGATTTTTATTTTTTTATTTTTTATGCAACTTCACATAAAAAAATATTATTCTCATAATTTTGATCTTTCTTTTTTTTTTTTTTTAAAAAAATTTGTTATCAAAAGTTATCATTATTGTAAAAGAATAATGATTCTCCATACAACCTTACAAATAATAATAATAATAACAATTACCAATTTTTTTTTTTACATTAATAGAAGTTTGATAATTAATAGTTAATAAATGTAGAGCGATGTTCTTACAATAATGAAATATAGACATTACAAATAGATTGACATTTATAAGGAGAAAATCTCTGAATAACAAGGATTTAATAGACATTAGTAATTTATCATCCATTAATTTATATTAGTTTCGACTGATTATGTCTTGTTCAAAATCGACCATAATTCGTTACTAAAAAAATGAGATTTTTTATTTTTTTTAAAGTACCATAAAGACATCAAATAATTTTTCACTTGTCTTTATCAGTCTCCTATATAAACTTATAGTTATATTTCAAATGATGTAGATTAATGTTCACCTGAGTACAAAATAATAATAATAATAAAAGAATTATCAAGTAGAGAATAATTGGGTTTTTTTACTTAATTGTTATGGACTTAGTAGCTTAAATTAAGCATTCTTACAATATAAATTGCTCAATCACTTTTTCAACATAAATTCTTGCATTCTTCTAATTATTAAATCTTTTAATTAGATTTTTAAGTGGTATCACTAAGTTATTGTATGATTCTTTTTTTTTTTTATTAAAATCATAAATATCCATAAAATATATTTAAACAGAAAAATAAAAACACACATGATATTAAATGCTAAAAAATAAATATGAAATAAAAAGAATTTTCAACATCAGTATTGATTGTTTTTTACTTTGTTCCCCTAAATTTATATAATTAATTGAAATATTAAAAAAATATTTTTATAAGGTTATCCGCCGCAGCACATGAGACATAAAACTAATCAAGTCTGTTTGGGAGTGATTAAAGAGGCAATATAATCAAATAAAAAGGCAGGAATATGGAATATAATTGACATTAACAATTTTCAATAGCTAAAGAAATAAGAAGAACGCTATTACAATGCTCAATGTTTGTCTAGTTAGATCACTAGAAAGAGAAGAACAAAGAAACATAACTTATTGCTTGGGATGGTAAGCACCGAATGGGACAAAAGCTGGGGCGACAGGTGCAGTCACGACTCATGGACGATAGGAGGGAGTAGGTCCACGGATGCTTGGATTTGTACCTATGATGTTCTCCGCTGCAGCTCGGGGTAGATGGCCTCTTAAAGAAGAAGCAACTGCCTGATAATGTTCTAATACTTTGAGTTGTTCCAGTAATACTCTCTTTGGTAGATTGGGGTTGAAGGTCACTTCTAGTAGGAATGACAGAGAAGAAGCAATTCTAATACTTGGAGTTGCTTCAGTAATACTCTTCGGTAGCTCAGGGTAGAAAGCCACTTCCAGTAGGAGCAGCAGGTTTAAGACTTGGAGCTGCTCCGGCAATGCTCTTTTCGGTAGCTCGATCACTTCCAATAGAAATGAAAGAAGAAAGCAATTCTAATACTCTGAGTTGCTCCTGATAAGGATAATCTATCCGGCTGGGTTACCCACACGGCAAAGGTAACTCACTGTCAAGAGTATCCTCCACTAACCATGTTTATCTATACAGCTACTGCCCATGTAATATAGGAGTCCTTATAGAAAGTCTGTCTCTGTAACAGAGTCCTTGTATATGTTTGTCTCTGTAGCGGAGTTCTTGTAGATTACAATCTGATTCTTGTATAAATACAGCAGGTCTACACATGAATAAAGTTAAGCTTCACATATACATAATCTTTTCATGGTATCAAAGCTTTAAGAGGTTTAAAAACCCAGCCACTAAACAGATCCCTAAAACAGACCCTCACCACAAATCAGCCCACACGCCTGTGTGCTTCACTCGCAGCAGCTTGCCGCCCGGACTAATCTCACCTGCAGTAGCCCGCAAATCCCTGCGTGCCAGCCCGACGCCAGCAGGCAACTTGCGTGCTGACCTACAGCTACGCACCAGTTGTTGAAACAAACTTCCTCCCCGTCAGAGTTTAGATTTTGGGATTAGTTTCGTCCATACTCAAAGGTTTAAAAACCGAGTTTCATCTAAACAAATACTCCAGCTACTGCCATGACAGAACCAGCTCCTCACTTAGTTTCTGACTCACCAACTCAGAACATGCTTACTTCACACCAAACACAGGAACAATCAACCTACCCTAATGTCACTCCACAACTATCCATCAAGCTTAATTCCAGCAACTATCTCCTATGGAAAACACAGCTCTTACCCCTGCAACGTGGTCACAAACTTGTGCACCACATAGATGGCAACTCCCCCACCCTGCTGAAATAGACTTAGCATTTGATGATTGGTATACAAAGGACCAAATCGTTCTTAGTTGGATCATTAGCTCTCTTTCCAGCAGCCTTGTTACACATTTGGTTGGAGTCACCACTGCTCTGGCTGCTTGGGAAAATTTAGTAGCCATATACGCTTTAGGGTCTAGAACGCAAGTGCGCCAGTTGCGCACTAGTTTGATTGAGCTATCACAGCAGAGCTCAGACATTCAGACCTACTTGATGTGTGCCAAAAAATTTTCTAATCGTCTTGCAGCTTTACAACACCCAATCCTTGAAGATGATCTTGTCGACTACATATTGCGAGGACTAAATCCTACCTTTTGCCCTTTTGTTTGTAACATTGAAGCACGAATTACACCACTCACATATGATGACTTATTCTCCTTACTATTGAGTGAAGAAATGTAGCTTGCCCGTCATGAACACACCATAGATTCAGTGCCACCAACGGCATAATTTACTGCCCGTGGCTTCAATCCTTCTCGTGGAAGAGGGCAGTACCGTGGAAGAAACAAAAATAACCCCAGTAGGTCACAGCTTCCTTCCCACTCTTCTGGCAGGTCCCAATTGAACTCTCCCCACACCATTGAATGCACCAACAATAACCAGCCCATATGCTCCAATTGCAAGGGTATTAGCCACTATGCAAGACAATGTCCCTCACCCAAGCAAATTCATGAGAGACGTCCCTTCACTCACTTCCCTAAGCATGAGTCCAACTTCACATCTAAACCATCCAGCCCAAACACACCATGCTCTTGGGTTGTCCACACTGGAGCAACGCATCATTTAACAGCTGATATGGATAACCTAGCCATCCACTCTGAATACAATCGACTGAAAGAAGTCATAATTAGCAATGGTACAACTATTCCTATCACTTGCACCGGCTCTTCTATTGTTTTCAATCAATAACACCAATTTTTTTTTTGATAACATTCTTCTTGTGCCACAGGCTTCTAACAATTTGCTTTCTATCAGTGCCTTTACCAAATCTAACAATGTTTCTCTTGAATTCTTTTCTGATTATTTTTTGGTCAAGGATATCCACACGAAGCAGATTTTATACAAAGGGAAGCTCAATGATGAGCTTTATTCGATGGAAATCAGTCGCCCTTTGCATCAATCACCATAAGCATTTTTAAGTTCCTTGTCTACTTGGCATGTTCGTCTTGATCATGCATTAGTCTAATATTGCTATATCTGATTGAGATTTTACATCTCTTTGTCATGCTTGTAGTGTTGGCAAAATATATAAATTACCATTTCTTGATTCTTCTTTTCAAGGGTCCAGTCCATTAGACTTAGTTTGCTTCGATTTATGAGGTCCATCTCCTGTTCCATCTTTATATGACCATTTTAGCAAATACTTATGGGTTTATTTTCATTAAATATAAATCTAAGGTTCTTAATTGCTTTATCAAATTTTGTCATAGTGTTGAAAAATATTTTGATTGGCCAATAAAAGCATTTCAAGCAGATTGGGGAGGGGAATTTCAAAGCCTTTTTGCATATCTTCGTGATAATGGAATCACCCATAGCAGTTCTTGTCCAAAAACCTGAATAAAATGGGTGTGCTGAGAGAAAACACTGACATATTACAGAAACAGGAACAACCTTACTTAACCATGCCTCTCTACTACTAAAATTTTGGGAACATGCCTTTGGAGCTGCGATTTACTCCATAAATCACTTATCTACACCACGCCTAGCACATAAAAGCCCATTTGAAACCTTGTTCCATCAGTTACCAAATTACCAAATGCTTCGTGTCTTCGATTGTCTCTATTACCCTTGGCTACATCCCTACACCAAAAACAAATTGGAGCCCCAATCAAAGTATTATGTCTTTCTTGGTTACAGTAACTTACACAAAGGTTATAAATGTTTTGATTTGGTCACTAACAAAACCTATATCTCACGTCATGTCTTTTTTGATGAACAAGTTTTTCCATATCAGACTTAATGAGTAAAGCTTCAATAAACTCTGACTCCCAATATGCTTTCACGCTACTGATCCCACCATTCAGACCTGTAACATTGCCCATTCCCCTTGCTCAGTCTAGCCCTCTTGAGTCGGCCAACACATATATTGCCCAGCCTTCACCTTCTACAGATGCTCGCACTCCTCCAACCCAAGAAACCACTCACGTGCCTAGCCCCTTCACTTAAACCGTTTCAATCTCCATAAATACACCTCAAGACAACCAACTCGTAACCTCATAGCCCACAATCAACCTAACAACTCATGACTACCTCTCAATCTAGTTAGAAGTTGATCTCATAAGGTACTCCTCTTCCTCACCAAAAAAAAAAAAAAAACCACTAGCCACCACACCCCATGAAAACAAGATTCCAAATTGGTCACTACAAACCAAAGACATTCCACACCTATATACCCATTGAGCTCGCCTGCTTCTCCACTGCTAAAAATTATTCCCAGTGATGCGCAGCAATGGATGTTGAGATTACAACATTATAGTCCAACAACACTTGGACTTTAGTTCTACGGGACCAAGCCTCCAACATTATGGGAAATAGATGGGTATATAGAATCAAAAGACAACCATATGGGATAATTAAGCGCTTCAAAGCATGCCTTGTTGCCAAAGGCTTCCACTAGCGTCCAAGCATTGGCTATATAGAAATGTTTAGCTCGATTTTCAAACCAACAATGGTCAGACTAGTGTTGTCACTTGCACTTATAAAAGGATGGGTAGTACAATAACTTGATGTCTCCAATGCATTCTTACATGAAAATCTAGAATAACCATTGTTTATGGAGCAACCATAGGGCTATGTGGATCCCAAATATCCGACTTATGTTTGTGCTCTAAAAAAATCTATGTATGGCCTCAAGCAAGCACCACGAGCATGGTATCAATGTCTAATAAATCATCTCCTTCATCTTGGGTTTAAGGGGTCTAGTCTGATACATCACTATTTATGTACATAAAAGGGGAAGACACCATCTACTGTCTCACCTATGTAGATATTATTGTCATAAAAAATAATTCAAGCCTTATTCAGCTATTAAAGAATACACTATAGTAGAAATTTACAATTAAGGATCTTGATAATTTGGCTTACTTTCTAGGTATTGATGCTCATTGGCACAAAGAAGGGTTGACCTTAACAGAGTCTAAACACATAAGAGACATTCTTCAGAAGGCAAAAATGCATGAGGCAAGCTCAATCTCCACTCCTGCCAATGCCACTAACAAGTTGATAAACTTAGGAATGCCATTTAATTATCCAACTTTGCTCTATATTATTGTTGGGGGACTTTAATATCTTGCTCTAACATGACCAGATATCTCATTTTCTATAAACAAAGTGCACAATTCATGCATACTTCTACCACAGATACTAGTGAACTGTTAAAAGAATACTGCAGTATCTAGGCTCTACTTATGATCATGGCTTGCACTTCAAACCGACAACTACCTTAACTCTGCATGCCTATACAGATGCTGATTGGGGTGGTGATTTGGATGATAGAAAAAACACCACAGGGTATGTTATTTATTTAGGTGGCAGCCTTATTTCTTAGTGTTCAAAAAAGCAGAGAACAGTTCTTGGTCTTCTATTGATGCTGAGTATCTCGCCTTGGTGACTATAGCCTCTGAAGTCACTTGGATTCAGTCTCTCTTAAAAGAAATTAGAGCTGCACTACGTTCGTCACCTATCTAGCTGCTAACCCTGTGTTCCATGCTCGATCAAAACACTTAGAGATTGACTTTCACTTTGTCATAGACAAGGTGAAGAAGAAAGAGCTCATAATGAACTTCATTTTCACTAAGGATCATATTACATATATCCTCATAAAACCCCTATCCAAATGACAATTTCTTATACTAAGGGATAAGCTGACTCTACACTCCGCAGTTCAGCTTGAGGGAGGATGATAAGGATAATCTATCCAACTAGGTTACCTACACGACAAGGGTACCTCATTGTCAAGAGTATCCTTCACTTACCATGTTTATCTATACAGCTACTACCTATGTAATATATGCGTCCCTATAGAAGTTTGTCTCTGTAATAGAGTCCTTGTATATTTTTGTCTTTATAGTAGAGTTCTTGTAGATTATAATATAATTCTTGTATAAATACAATAGGTTTATATATGAATAAAGTTAAGCTTCATATATACATAATCTTTTTAGCTCCAGTAATGCTCTCTTTGGTAGCTCGGAGTTGAAGGTCACTTCTAGTAGGAATGACAGAGGAGAAGCAATTCTAATACTTCAAACTGCTTGATTAATATTTTTTTTTGGTAGCTCGAGGTAGAAGGCCACTTTCAATAAGAGCAGCAGGTTTAAGACTTGGAGCTGCTTCGACAATGCTCTTTTTGGTAGCTCTGTCACTTCCAATAAAAATGAAAGAAGAAGCAGTTCTAATACTTTGAATTGCTCCAACAATGCTCTATTTGGTAGCTTGGGGTTGAAGGTCACTTTTAGTAGGAATGATAGAAGAAGCAGTTCTAATACTTCGAGGTGCTTCAGTAATACTGTTTTCGATAGCTTAGGATAGAAGGCCACTTTCAGTAAGAGCAGCAGGTTTAAGACTTAGAGCTACTCTAGTAATGCTCTTTTCGATTGCTCGGTCACTTCTAATAGAAATGAAAGAAGAAGCAGTTCTAATGCTTGGAGGTGCTCCAGTAATGCTCTCTTTGGTAGTTTAGGGTTGAAGGCCACTTCTATTAGGACTGAGAGAAGAAGTAGATCTAATAGTTGCTTCTGCCCCTATAATGTTTACTTCCACAAATAGGGGTGGAAGGCCACTTCTAGTAGGATTGAGAGAAGAAGCAAATCTAATAGTTGTAGTTGCCCCTATAATGTTTGCTTCTACAGATAAGGGTGGGAGGCCACTATTAGTAGTCTGAATAGCTTGGCCACATTTTTCACGAGAAAAATCAATATTGATCTGATTATTTCAGTTCTAAAATCCCTATTTTTTCCCCATCTTGCTTTCCTTATTTCTAACAAATTTGGTATCAAAGCCTAGTTCTTTCAAATGCCATCATCTTCCAGCATTACCACTTTCACATATACAACAATTCAAATTCCTTTTTTTTAATGGAGAACGCTACGATTATTTGAGCTTTTAAATAGAGACAATTTTTATTTCATAAAATTTTTGGAGCTTGGTAGATGAAAGATAATAAGATAATGAGAAAAAACATAAGGAGAATGTGAAAAAAAATGCTACTATTTTACGGATAATTCAACAAGAGCAAATCCATCAATCTTAGAATTTTTTTCAATTAAAAAGGCAAAAAAAGCATGAGAGATTTTGAAGAATGAATTTAAAGGCATAAAGAAAACTATCTCTGTAAAGTTATAGAACTTGTGTAGAGAATTTGATAATCTCACAATGAAAGAAGGAGAACTTATTAGAAACTTTTCTTTAAGGGCAACAGAAATCATCAACTAGATAAAAAGTTATGGTGATTTTTTCCTTAAGAAGAAAGTTGTTGAAAAAGTACTCGAAAGCTTGCTTTAGAAATTTAAGAATATAATTGTTGTCATTGAGAGGATAAAAAATTGTTAAGACTTGCAATTCATGAATTGATGGGTTCTCTAGAAGCATATGAGTAGAGAGTGAGTATGGAAAACAAGCAACCATTGGAGCAAGCTTTCAGACCAAAACTAATTTTTCTAAAAATAAGACATCAAGATTATAGTAAATACAAAATTAAGGTTCATTTCAGAAAAAAGGAATCCTATGACAAAGGATGTGGAGTTCAATATCAAAATAGAAGCAAAAGTAGAACAAGAACAAAATTTCAACAACAAAAAAGATTTATTAGTAACTCTTCTTATTGCAACATTTGTAAGAGTTATGGTCATAAAGCTAGAGATTGCTATTTTAAATGCACCAAATGAAAAAAATCTAATCATTCCTAAAGAAATCGATGGCACAAAGGAGAAAGCGGTAGGGATAAAAATATAATTATTTTTTTTCAAAATAAAGATGATCAACTGTTTAATCTTACATAAAGGTTGAGCACCAATCTAGAGATGTATGGTATTGAGACATCGACTGCAATCACCACATAAACGAGTGATCGAACAAACTTTATGGAGTTTGATGAAAATTATTCCTCTCATGTTGAACTTGGTGATAGTAATAATGTGCGGATCGAAGAGAGATGAGTCATTGTAGTCCATATTAATGAAAGTAATAAAAAACACATTCATGATGTTTTTTATTTGCTAAACAGATGGTTAAAATCTTTTGAATATCAAATAAATGATGAGGAAAGGTTATAAACTAATTTTTGATAATGATAAATGTGTAAATTTTTAATAAGAATGCTAATAAAAAAGTCGTGATGAAGATGGGTACAAAAAATATTTTTGGTTTGAACATGAAATTATGTTAGAATATTTCTCTTAAAAGTGAGCATGTTGATGAGTCTTACTTATGGCATCTAATATTGACCACTTGAATTTCAATGGCTTGCAACTTCTAAAATAAAAAAACATGGTAGTTGAAATTTCCTTAATTCAAAACAAGACTGGAGTGTGTGAAGGCTACATATATGGAAAGATGCATGTATTTCCCTTTCCAAAGATAGCTTAGAGAGCTAATGCACCTCAAAAGCTGGTACATGTAGATATATGTAGGCCAACTCAAACTCCATCTCCGAGTAATAAGAGATATTTTTTTATTTTTTTATTAATGATTATACCATAATGATTTTGGTATATTTCCTTGATAGAAAATCGGATGCATTCTCTATGTTTTTGCAATTTAAAGCATTTACGGAAAGACAATGGTTGCCGGATGAAGACCGTAATAACAGATTATGGAGGTGAGTACATATGCAAGCCATTCTTTGATTATCGTAAGGGGAATGGAATTCAAAGATAGCTTACAATGAGCACACCTTTCAATGAAATAAAGTTATAGGAAAAAAACATAATAAAGGAGATGGCATGGAGCATGTTGAAAGCAAAAAGGCTTTTTTAACAAGTTTTAGGTTGAAGTCGTCAACACGACATCATACATTTTCAATCATTCTTCAACAACGAGTAGTTTGTAACCACATTCTATTTGAAGTTTGGCATCATCGCAAACTAGTAGTCAATTAGCTTAATGTCTTTGGTTGTATTACTTATGCACTAGTTCCTTTCTAAAATAAAGAAAAGTTTGATTAGCAAGGCGAGATGTGACGCCCCCATCCCGGTTCACTCTCTATTACCGAAATAGGAGTAACCAAGTGAGGCACGTCACATTGACACGACTAATTTTTGAATTAATCTTAGACACGTACATGCTCATACGTTAAGGATTTATCATACCATGAAATGTGTATAAAATAATTTACATAATATTAACAAAATAGTGGGAGAAATTATAAAATTTATTTACAACACCATCAAAATATTCATTGACACCCCAACCCTAAAATTTCAATCAAGAGAAATTTTGGTACACTTGTGTCACACGTGAGCCTTTTTGGAGGATCCAACGAACGTCCTATCGGTATTAACGTCGCTTTTATCTATCATGGCATGTAAGAACAAACGGGGTGAGCTAAAGCTCGGTACGTAAGGTGATACATGTGTTATGCAATTTTATCTACCGCCCCCACTATTCTCATCAATTTGAAATATTAAGCGTACCCTAGATATTAGTAAGTCCGTTCTATTCTCGGTGATTGTTGAATAACCTCGGTAATCATTTACCGCTGAATACCCTCAACAATCATTTTTAATTCGAGTACCCTAGGTATCGCAAGCTCGTGCATTCCATCTCTTGATGATTGCATTATCACCTACTGCTCTATTACTTTTTCTCGGTGATCTCATTATCATCTACTCGCTCACAACGGAATTACCCTTCATTATAGCACATAGTTAGCGGAATCATCCCTTGCTTAATAGTATTAGTAATAGAGCATGCACATGGTTTCATGCTCGTTACCCATTCCATTCGGTTCGGTTATCAAACCGTTTTATCTCAAGTCTCAATGATGTTTCTCGATTTCATATCACTCCCAAATGCACGTGATGCATATGGTATTATGTTTAACACATTCGACTAATTATGCTATCACCATTTTCTTCTCGGATCGTTTCCGTGTCCGACGCACACTCGGGACTTCACGGGTGTTTCATGTACCATTTAAAGTATTCAAAATGAAAATACAATTTTCATTCATCGGTAGCATTCATTACATAAATCTACTTCGTACTTATGAGTTTTTCCTTTTCGTGTAAGTCTAGGCTCGAATTTCCAGTGTATAACTTAGTGTATGAGACCGGTTAATCCTAAGGATTTATACATGACATACTTAAGCTAAATTTTTGCTTAATATAAACATTTAATCTTAGTAGTCGAAGTCGACTCATAAAAGGTCTAGGTTTTAATATTGATTTTTCTTGAATTCTCTTTTTTCATTACCCTATTTGTATGTCTTGTAATCATTGATCTCTACTTGCATTCATCTTCACTTCTTGATCTCTACTTACATAAAAGGGATTCAATGTTAATCATTTTCTCTCCTAGGCCAAATGGTCCCAAAATAAACAAGAAATTGTTTTTCCATTTCTAGGTCACTTCCTTTTTAATGACTTACCAACTCATACTTAAAAGAGTTACCATGATATTCTAGGCCCTTAATTTCCCCAAAAGATCAATTCTTTTTTCATTTTCCCCGAGTTGGTCTGAATGGTTTTAGCCTAAGGAAACTCTAGAAGTGTATTCCTTTTTCTTTCCTAGTTAAGCTTACCAAACCTAGGTTAAGTTCAATCCATTCGGTACATACTCTTTTTCTTTCTTTTTCCTTTCCAACCCATCCACACATTTAAATCTATCAAACAAGCTTTGTATGACAACAAAACATATAAATCCATCATAATTTAGTAAGCCCTAACACTAACACAAACAACCATAGAAATCCATAGAAAAATTATTACAAATCCATGAAATAAACACCAAAAAATAACTTAAGACATTAATCAATCAAAAATGAAACCTACTTACCTTGCTTGAATTTTCTAAAGGTTGGTTAAGCTTTCCCCTTCTTTCTTTTCTTTCTTTTTCTTTTTCTTTTTCTTTTTTTTCCTCTTCCTTTCTTGTTTATCATTTTTCTTTCCCAATTTTGATGGCTACAATCGCCTAAAATTTCTTATCATTTGCACTCTTTCTATATATACATACACATGCTTAAAGTCTTGGTCTAAGTAAGTATACAAATGGCGGGATTTAATTTGAAAGAGTGGAAAGTTAATGGTGAGTCATGAGAGAGAGGTGGTAGATTTGAGACAAAATGTGTGAGTTGGCTATTAATTCATTTAATGCATTGCTTAGGTGTCTACTAAAAATATTAAGTTAAATATACACCCTAATTTACTTGATTCAAGTAAATAAACATAGTTTCCTTCATGAAATTTCAGAAATTTCTTTTCTTAAAACTCAAAAATTCCTTGTCCATTCTTTTCTAAAAAAAAAATTCTAGCAGTGATGCTTCAAGACCAATCTACACTAAAATCGCCATAAATCTTTATATATATATATATATATATATATCATGAAATGTTATAGAGAGATAGTAGACACATAGACGAACAACTTTTATTCTTTAAGTTTTACCCGTAAATCACTTTAAAGTCCTCAAATAAATCACATAAAAATTCGGGTAGAATGTAGTCCTCAAGACACCGATTTTGATATATTATCGATTTGAATATCCGGGTTTTGGAATATGAGTACCATAATCAACATTTTGTAAAATTGGGTTAGGGACATCCGAGGTAGAAAACCTATGTGGTTGTCTAAGAGATGGCAGACTCGATTCAAGTCCGTATCTCTCCTAACATTTGGTAAATTTATGACTCGAAGGAATCTCGAGAAAATCTTCCTAGGTCGAAGTCATGGAACTAGAGGCATCATCGGAAAATCTACTACTCGGTAAATTTTCTATCAAACGAGAGTCTAACACTCCCATCCATTTGTTGATCTATGGATCCGATTTATGTGTTTGGTTTTGGGATCTCGAGAACCGATAGAGATCTAGGTTTTGTAATTCCTTCCAAGATCCATTCATTTGGTAGCACTATGTCTCTCCACCTAATGGGTCCGGGAATAACGGTATTGGATTTGGTCGGATCTGTTTGCGGAAGAAGGGTTTCACCTTTGATCGATTGCCTTTTGTGTTTAGATGTAAATGCAAAATTCATAGCTTTGTAATGAATTTTTGTAATTAATGCAATTGGAATAGATCCATCCATCATATGATAATTATGAGTTTTAACTTGCAGAACCAATGATTCAAGAATATTTTTGTCATTCAAGGAAACGAGTAAAATTTGGGTAACAATCAAAAGAGATAGGTTTCTTGCATAAACTCGACTCAATTGAACTTAACAAAGAGTCTTGGAAATTTGTAAACCTATTGTCTCTAAGGACTCGCCAGGATCGAGGTATTCAAACCCTCTTTTGTAAGTGGTTTAATCCTCACTTGAACTAAACCAATATGAATGTATTTAAAACCTTTGTCTTTATGTTTTTTAAGAGTTTTGGAAGAAAGGAGATGAATTGTTTCAAAGGGTTTTGAGAGCTGAATATCACGCTCCTCGGTTTTGATTGTGAAATCGGTTTTGAAAAGTCGATATTTGCTTGGTTTTGTAAATCTCATCTTTTTGAATCTTGGGTATTGCCCAATCATCAATTTGTTTTTCAAAATCTTCTATGACATATTCTACACTATTGATTATCTTCTTAGATTCAAAAGAATCGAAGCGAGAAGATGTAGAAAAGGAAGTAGATCTACGGAACATAGAATCCATACCTAGACTATGGTTTGGAGGTTTTGGGTATGCAAGTTATGAAGGGAACTTACTCCTAATTTACTTGTCCTATCCGTCGGGACTCACTATAGTATGCCAACTCGGTTGTCTATACCCTAGACTGCGAAACACGAGCTAAACATGAAATCTATAAACCATAAACATACAACCCCACCGACAACTTACAAAGAGAATGTCCGAGACTGCGAACCACCATCGATTAGATCCTTGGGGTTTATTGGTATCGAGCCTATATATATATATATATATATATATATATATATATATATATTTCACACAAAATAGTTCTCGGCACTACTCGATTTTGATTATATATAATTTTTTTTTGACGAGGGTTACACGAGAAGCATATCTTCATTGGCTATAGTGATGAGTCTAAACTCTTTTGGCTTTTCAATTCTTAAAAGAATTAGTTAGCACTCTCGAAAGGATATTATTTTCCATGAAATGGCAGACTTGGAAATGGGAAGATTTGAGACAAAATGTGTGAGTTGGCTATGAATTCATTTAATGCATTGCTTAGGTGTCTACTAAAAATATTAAGTTAAATATACACCCTAATTAACTTGATTCAAGTAAATAAACATAGTTTCCTTCATGAAATTTCAGAAATTTCTTTTCTTAAAACTCGAAATTCCTTGTCCATTCTTTTCTAAAAAAAAATTCCAGTAGTGATGCTTCAAGACCAATCTACACTAAAATGGCCATAAATCTTTATATATATATATAGATCATGAAATGTTATAGAGAGATAGTAGACACGTAGACGAATAACTTTTATTCTTTAAGTTTTACCCGAAATCACTTTAAAGTCCTCAAATAAATCACATAAAAATTCGAGTAGAATGTAGTCCTCAACACATCGATTTTGATATATATATATATATATATATATATATCACACAAAATAGTTCTCAGCACACTCGATTTTGATTATATATATATATATATATTGACGGAGGTTGCACGAGAAGCATATCTTCATTGGCTATAGTGA